ATAAATATTATTACACTTTGATGGGGTTACGGTGACACTAGGGCCCCACAGATACATCTCCATGAATGCCTCGCTCCTCTCGCTCGCTTTTCCGCGCTCACTTTTTCATTAGGCCCGAATCCCACGTGGCGCGTGCCATACGACAATGTTCTTAAGGGCTTAAGCCCTTTCCTCGCCCCCCCCCTTCCTCTTCCTTCTCACCGGACAATCCTTTGCAACCCCGTGGTATGTGATACCGATATAAGTATCGGTAGCCGCTGCTTTTCTCTCGAGCGTGTCGCGAGCGAACAAAAAGGATAAGCGATTCTATTATAATGTTGATACCGAATGAAGATGGATTTACAAAGAGTTGACATGTTCCCTTTTCTCTCAGCGATCGCGGAGAGACTATATAACTTGCTGTGAAGATCATATCTTATTAAAATATTTCCATTTCATTTTTACTTATTAATGCTTTAAAATAAATAAAATATCTGAGAACCGAAATTTTTCTCTTTCAAGGAAGGAGCAACTACTTCAACTAAAACCTTGAAAACATAAGAAATAAATTTAAAAAAATTTTTATTCATATAATTGTATGATATAGGATGACAAAAAAGTTTGACCACAAAGTTTTGTGTTTTTCAAATAATCAACAACGTATATTTACAAAAAAATAAACTCTAAAGTGTTAATTATATCTTATTAAATATAAGAAATAATAATTAACATTGAAATGACTACCTTTAATACAAGTACTTTAAAATATTTTGAATTCAATGATGGCCGCATTCTTTCCATAGATAAATTCTCCTAGATAGCCAATATAGATCTTTAGTTCACCAATACATGAAAATTTTCTGAAAAATCTTTTTGGTATTTAAGAAGAATAATTAACTTTAGAGTTTATTTTCTTTAAATATAATGTTACTATCCAAGAAAGAAAGTTATTGTTATTTGTCACTAATTTGACATCAAAACGATATTTTTAATATCACTTTAATGTCAAAATCGCTTACTACTTGGATAATGATTTGATAAGCACGCAAAACTTGGCCAAATTTTTTTCTCTCTCTGTATGGATGAGAATTTTTAAACGACGTGGCATGAAGTGCAACACGTGATATTCTTCGGTAACAATGACATCTTTAATAACCGGTTCAACAACATTACAATGTCATAGGATTTCAATTACATACGCATTTCGAATTACTTGGTTTTTCATCAAATAAATATACATACATACATGTATCTTTAGATACATAGAATCACGAGTATAGAATCACGAGTGTATGTATGTATTGAGTGTGTATATCTGTTTTTATCTGCATTTGTGTGTGTTTTTTATGCATTCGTGTATGTTTATATGTATATATGCACATATATATTCTCTCTCTCTCGGTGTGTGTGTGTGTGTGTGTGTGTGTGTGTGTGTGTGTGTGTGTGTGTGTGTGTGTGTGTGTGTGTGTACGCAAAGTGCGGATGTATTGCAGTTAAATTACACTACGCTTACGGATAATCTCGGGATGCACGATCGCCTCTCTTCATCGCGCATGGATAATATGCGTTATGCACGAATAATTAGATACATATAATCAGGGTGACCATTTCTCCACGTTCTGTCTCTCCCTTCCTATGATATGTGTTCACATATTGCGACGTTCTGTCGTAACGGATTGCTCCCGTCGCCATCTTCCTTCTTGTAACACTTGGAAATTAGACTCGGTTTCGAGATGAGAAAAATATCGTTGGGAAACTGAGCGCCCGTGTTTTCACTTTAAGCGTCGTTCCCGATAGTACTGAGCAAGGTTTCGATACACAGAACGCACTGTGCATTCGTCTTGCACGACGTATGTCACTGAGGAAGCTACTTACATATTTGCAATTTGAGAGGCTAATATATTTTGAGGACTCAAAATCAATTTAGAATTTTTCTCAAGCATAGGAGAAAGTAACAAATAATTCGCCAATTTTTAATTCGCAAATTTGTTTGATAATTATCTAAAGGTTATTATTATGTAAAATTTAGGAATTTTCTATACACAATAGGGAAAATTCTCGCCAGTTTCACTCCGATTTAATAATTATAACAAATAATACATCGTATAATCATCGAAACTTAACGAAACTTGTGTATGTGTACAATAACAGCGAATTTTTCATATTATCTAAGCTGAGGATCTTAAAAGCAAGATGAAATTAGTCTCTTCTTTCGGAAGAGAAATAATTCTTAGGAACAAAATCATTCTTTTCCAATAGAAGATCTTTGGTTTGAAATGAAAAATTTTTTAATACATTTACTATGTTTTTAAATGTGACAGCCTTTCGACGAAGGCGTATGTTTTTTTTCTTTATTCAAAAAGAAATTTTTTTTCATTCTAGATTTCTATTTCACTTCTAAGATCCTCAGGTCCTATTCCTACGAGTGTCAGGACAATAACACCTTTGCCCAGCACTGGCCTTCAGTCCCGACGCAGAAGAAAGAGGATTTTATACTCACGTACACACACCGTCGCGTTCACAACACTCACGAACGATATGATACAAGTAGGCAAGATATACCGAGTGCCCCAGGATTATTGCCACTATCGAAGATACTCACGAAGACTTATAGGTCAAACGTACAATATTTATTTCAATATCTGCGGCTACGATCAGAATATAAGCGCGGTTAAAAGTGGAGCGGATTATTTCGCGTAGTAAGCTGCGCATATAAAAAAAATTAATAAATTCAATTTTAAACAAACGTTTTAGCAGAATTTTATGAGCTTTTATTACGAAAATAATGATCAGAAAACGTGTAACTAGAAAGAAATGATAATAATTTCGGGACACTCGATACGCGACGTATCCGCGCGAAAGAAAAAGCTCTTTTCTTTTCCCTT